AAAGTTGAAAATAGAGCTACCATATGACCCAGCAATTGTACTACTGGGTATTTACCCCAAAGATACAAATGTAGTGATCCGAAGGGGTATTTGCACCCCGATGTTTATAGCATCGATGTCCACAATAGCCAAACTGTGGAAAGAGCCAAGATGTCCATCAACAGATGAATGGATAAAGAAGAAAAAGAAGTCCACACAATGGACTATTATGCAACCATCAAAAGGAATGAAATCTTGCCATTTGCAATGACGTAGATGGAACTGGAGGGTATTATGCTGAGCGAAATAAGTCAATCAGAGAAAGACATGTATCATATGATCTCACTGATATGAGGAATTCTTAATCTCAGGAAACAAACTGAGGGTTGCTGGAGTGGTGGGGGGTGGGAGGGATGGGGTGGCTGGGTGATAGACATGGGGAGGGTATGTGCTATGGTGAGCGCTGTGAATTGTCAGGACTGATGAATCACAGACCTGTACCTCTGAAACAAATAATACATTATACATTAAAAAAAAAAAAAGAAGATAGCAGGAAGGGAAAAAGGAAAGGGGGAAATCGGAGGGGGAGATGAACCACGAGAGACTATGGACTCTGAGAAACAAACTGAGGGTTCTAGAGGGGAGGCGGGTGGGGGGATGGGTTAGCCTGGTGATGGGTATTAAAGAGGGCAGGTACTGAATGGGGCACTGGGTGTTATACGCAAACAATGAATCATGGAACACTACATCAAAAACTAATGATGTGGGGCGCCTGGGTGACTCAGTCGTTAAGCATCTGCCTTCGGCTCGGGTTGTGATCCCAGGGTCCTGGGATCGAGCCCTGCATCGGGCTCCCTGCTCGGCAGAAGCCTGCTTCTCCCTCTCCCACTCCTCCTGCTTGTGTTCCCTCTCTTGCTGTGTCTTTCTCTGTCAAATAAATAAAATCTTTAAAAAAAACAAAAAAAGACCCCCCAAAACTAATGATGTAATGTATGGTGATTAACATAGCATAATAAAATTTAAAAAACTACAGGCATTAGAAAACAAAAACACAAACAAACAAACAAAAAAACGAAAGAGAAAAAACAAAACAGAAACTATGTTTCCATGCAGTATGTGCCCTCCTTAATACGCATCACCGGGCTGGAGCACTGGGTGTTATTCGCAAACAATGAATCATGGAACACTACATCAAAAACTAATGGTGAATTGTATGGTGACTAACATAACCTAATAAAATAAAATTTAAAAAAATTAAAAAAATAAAAACTATGTTTCATTCTATGAAAGAGGTTACAAAATAGGAGTAAAAGTGTTAACAAATGTTAACATGAACAAGAGCATTATGTACATCTCAAGGAAGCAGGAAAAATGTTTTCTTTGCTGGCCTCCGCTCACTAAATCATCATCACAGGTGAAATTATAACTCAGAGTTTTGATTTATATGTTCTATGATCAAGCAATATTGCCTACTAAAACTTTTGTGTTTAGTGGAACAGAGGACATAATTTTATTTAAATATGTAAAGCTAAAATTTCCTTTGACCCAAATACTTTTCTCTTGTGCTTTCTCAGTTGGCAGGGGAAAAAAAATTAAGCCCAGACTATTTCTCCATTGTGTAGCAATCTGAACTTATTTTTCAAATCCTTGCTTATGTTTCATAAATACTATAAAATTCAGTTATAGGGAAAAATTGTATTTCAACAGTTTTCACTAGAAGCAAGAACTTTAAACCAGATGACATTTTGAGATTTTTTTTCCCTAGTATAAAATTGTAAGGATATGTTTTTAAATGAACAGAAAATTCCTGGAAGTTTACTCAAGAAAATGAACAGTGGTACCCACTGGGGAGTATTATTAAGAAATAGGGAAAATCTTTTCAATCTAGTGCACAAAAAACACCAAAGACTCTACTTCCTATTTTCTTTCCCTTTGTCCAACTTTATTTAGAAAGTTTAATAAAGGTGAAAATTTAGTTGAGGGATAAAGAATAGGGCAAAGAGCCTGAATTTTTTCCAAATGGGAGAATTAAGCCTTGAATATTTGGGATTTGGAATTGTCATCCTGAGTGTATGTGTCAAATTTTGGCAGTCATTTTGCTCTTTGAAAATCAGACTTTGCCTACTCTGATCTATTTTCTGATATTCCCACAGATAAATATTTGATAAGGCCCTATCTCTCATAGGTCCCATGGTTTTGTTTTTGCATAAGCTTTTCTTGTTACAAAATAAAGCCATAAAAATAATAAAAATCATCAAATTTTCAAATATTATAAAAATGTGTAATTGAGAAAGTAAAGATCTCATCATTCCATTCCTGGAGGGGTTTGTGGTGTGTGTGTGTTTATAGAAATGCAATCATAATTTATATAAATGTATATGCATGTATATATCTACACACACACAAAATTCTGCAGCTTGGTTTTCATATAAAAAATATTCTAGTACATTTCTACATCAGTATGCATATATGTAACCAATTTTTTAAAAATAGAAGCCTTGCTTTTTGTATAAATATCCAACAGAAAGTCAGTAGTTAAGATGTTGTGAAAGGTGGTGTGAAGATAGACCTACATATAAATCTTAGCTCTGATCTCTAGCTGTGCAAACTTAGACTTGTCAACTACTCTGTGGATTTCAATTTACCCACTTATAAAATGCAACCAGTAAGATCTAGCTCAAAAGGTTGTGGAATAGATGATGAGAAAACTCATATAAAGTACCAGGCACATGGAAGCCATTTAAGTTAGTTTCTGTCTTACTCTTTGTAGACTTTGCAATAGGCCTGTGTAAATTGTTGGTCTTGTTTCCTACCATCCTCCAAAATAAGCATAAGTGTACCAACTTTTTAGAGATATTCAGAAACAAATTTTAAAAGTGTCCGTATTTGGAATTCTTAGAACATGTTTTATCGGTATAAGGAATTATTACCATTAAAAAATATGAAATCTAGGGTATCTGGGTAGCTCAGTTGTTAAGCACCTGCCTTTGGCTCAGGTCATGATCCCAGAATCCTGGGATGGAGCCCCACATCAGGCTCCCTGCTCAGCGGGAAGTCTCCTTCTCCCTCTCCCACTCCCCCTGCTTGTGTTCCCTCTCTCACTGTCTCTCTCTCTGTCAAATGAATAAATAAAATCTTTAAAAAAATAAAAAAATATGAAATCTAAAACAAAATGCTTATAAATGAGGCTCTCTAGTTTATCCAAGCATATGTTCTGTAAAATACCAGGTCCTTTGTGTCAATAATTTAAACTTGCCAGGAATCGATTGTCCAGGGTAAAAACAGTAACGATTAAACAAATGCCTTATAAAAAATATATTGTTATATGTTTTTAAGGATGGGATGCTGTTATGGATTGGAAAGATGTTCTGTCAGGAGGGGAAAAGCAAAGAATGGGCATGGCTCGCATGTTTTATCATAGGTAAGTATGCCATCGTTGTAACTAAAAAAAATCTTTGGACAGGATTTGTCCTCATCTTTAGTTTAAAAATATCTTCCTGGGGAATGGAGGGATGGGCAAAATGGGTGAAAGAGAGTGGGAGATACAGGCTTCCAGTTATGGAATGAATAAATCACAGAAAAAAGGCACAGCATAAGAAATATAGTCAATGACATTGTAATAGTGTTGTCTGGTGACAGATGCAGCTACATTTGCGGTGAACATAGCCTAATGTATAAACTTGTCCAATCACTATGTTGTATACCTGAAACTAATGTAACACTGTGTGTCAATTATACTCAAATAAAAAAGAAAGAAAAAAAGGAAAAACGAATGCTTAGAATTTACAGGTTTAATTTTCTTGTTATTTTTTTCATGTGTTGGAAATCTCCCAGTCTTTTTTTCTATTTCTTAGGTTGAGTAACGTTAGATGACAAAATTAAATTTTCATATATCCTAAGTTTGAAAAGATTATTGCTAATTTTAAAATGTGATGAATACATAACTACTATTATATTGTGGTGAACACAGTAGGTAGGCATTCAATACTACTTCTGAATTAAATTATTAAATTCAAACTAAATTAGCTTTTCAAGCACTCAGTAGTCTATTAAGCGCAGTAGAGCTCTCCTCCTTAAAAAATCAGACACTTATCTAATGCAAAAAGGAACCAACCAGCATAGGTCTTAACGGACTCAGAAAAGGAGAGATACAGCAAATAATTTCTCTTGATAAAACTTTTCTCTCTGCGATCAGCTCCATAGCCTTTTGAGTTTCAAGGATACCAAGCACCAGAGGCTGGAAAGAAATATTAAAGCTATTCTGAAATATTCTTCTTATCTGTCCTATTCTTCTCTGGAAAAGATCTCTCTCTGCCTCTGTCTGTCTCTTTCTCTTAATCTTAGGCCTTTGGCAATGAGAATCAGAGTTGTATGCAAAGCAGGAGGCAATCAGGAATTATGTGACTCAGTGTTAATAAACCATCTTGGGAAAAAAGGACCAAGAGTTATGTACATGAATGCCTAAATGGCACAGTTTATGGTTGTAAACTGGGGCAGATGTGACAGTCTGAAGGAGTTGCAATAGAAGCAGTAATACTTTTGTAGGGAACTTTAAAAAACTGATAAAAGGAGCAAAAATATCTGTATATCATGGAAGCCTCATTAAATATTTAGCAACCAGTTAGCCCACACTTAGCGATGAGTTGGCTATCATTTTTTAAAAAAACTTTTATTGGGGTGCCTGGGTGGCTCAGTCGGTTAAGTGGCTGCCTTCGGCTCAGGTCATGATCCCAGGGTCCTGGGATGGAGCCCCGCGTGGAGCCCTGCATCGGCTCCTTACTCAGGAAGCAGGCTCCTTGCTCAGCGGGGAGCCTGCTTCTCCCTTTCCCTCTGCCTGCCTGCCGCTTCCCCTGCTTGCGCTCTCTTTCTCACTATCTCTCCCTCTGTGTCAAATAAATAAATAAAAAATCTTAAAAAAATAAAAAAATTAAAAACCTTTTATTATGGAAAAAACATCAAAACTCCATCAAAGAGAAAATTGTAAGTTGAATCTCACATTCCCACCACATTGATTCACCAAGTGCAACATTTTACCACACTTAATTTATCTTTTTTTAAATTTTGAAGCATTTTAAAGCAAATCCCAAATATCATGGCATTTTTTCCTAAAAACTGTGGCATCAAGAAAATATTTTCTTACATAATAACTACCTTATAATCATAGCTAATAAAATTGATAAAAATTAAAGTCATCTAATACCAGGCTCATATTCAAAGTTTCACTAATTGTCTCAAAAATATTTTTTATAGTTGATCTGTTCAAACATACTGAATTTTGTTGTTATATCTTTTAATCATTTTTAAACTAAAGTCTCTGCTATTCCGTGCCCCACCACCACTCACCCTCCAATCTTGTATGTCACTGATTTGCTAAAGAAATAGGACTAGAGATAGAGAAAAAACTGAGGGTTGATGGAGGGAAGTGAATGGGGGAGGAGCTAGATGGGTGATGGGTAGCATCACTTGTGATGAGCTGAATGTTGTATGTAAATGATGAATCACTGAATTCTTCTCCTGAAACCAATATTGAGCTGTATGTTAACTAACTAGAATTTAAATTAAAAAATAAAAGATATAAGAAAAAAAAGAAATAAGTGTTAGTTGTCCCATAAGAATATTGCTCATTCTAGATCTGATTACTTCCTCATGGAATCTTTTACCTCTTTCTTTAATCTCCTAATTTTCTTATAAACTAGAAATTAGAGCTAAAAGCTTAATTATATTTTAATTTAGCCTTTTTAAAAGAATATAACATATATTTATCATGGAAAAAGGAACATTATTTAAATAATTTTATTAAAATATAATAATATGTACATTTCATAAAAGTAGAAAATTTAGATAAGTAAAAAAAATCTATTATCTCATTACCTATGTTAAATAACAAAAATTCAGGTAAATTTTAAAGAAACAATTGGCTTTATTGAACAATTCATGAATAAGACAGCATCCCATCTAGCAAGTAGAGAGGAGCTCCAGAGGTCTACAGAAAGGGAATAGTTTTTTTTTTTTTAAAGATTTTATTATTTATTTGATGGAAAGAGACACAGCGAGAGAGGGAACACAAGCAGGGGGAGTGGGAGAGGGAGAAGCAGGCTTCCCGCGGAGCAGGGAGCCTGATGTGAGGCTTGATCCCAGAACCCTGGGATCACAACCTGAGCCGAAGGCAGATGCTTAACAACTGAGCCACCCAGATGCCCCAAGGGAATAGTTTTTAAAAGCAGAACAAGGAAGTCATGAACAAACTCACCTCCTACATGGAGTCTAAAGGGTCTTATTAGGTGGATTACCTCACCAATGCTGACCAGGAAATTCTAGACTGGCCAGTTCAGATTACATTCCTGGGAAGGTTGAACCTACAATTAGGTTAGATATTAAGCCCCAGTTTGGTGACATGGACCTAGCACAAGTGACTCCATTTTAGGCCTGTATGTAGTGTCTAGCCAGAGTTTTCTAATAAGAAAAAATATTGTATTAATAACATGGTATTTTGGAATTTAAGAAACAAAACGGATGAACATAGGGGAAGGGAAGGAAAAATAAAATAAGATAAAACAGAGAGGGAGACAAACCATAAAAGACTCTCAACTATAGGGAACAAAATGAGGGTTGCTAGAGGGGATGTGGGTGGGGGGATGGGATACCTGGGTGATGGGCATTTTGGAGGGCACTTGATGGAATGAGCACTGGGTGTGATGTGCAACTGATGAAGCACTACATTCTACCCCTGAAGCTAATAATACACCATATGTTAACTAAGTTAAATTTAAATAAAAAATTAAAAGAAAAAGAAAAAATAACATGGTATTTATAATAATGTGCATGGTTAGCCCAAGAATATGGCAAGCTAATTTGCACTGACATGGATGGAACTAGAGAGTATTATGCTAAGCAAAATAAGTCCGTCCGAGAAAGACAAGTATCATATGATTTCACTCACGTGGAATTTAAGAAACAAAACACTGGGTGATGGGCATTAAGGAGGGCATGTGATGTGACAAGCACTGGGTGTTATATGCAACTAATCAATAACTGAACTCTATACCTGAAACTAATGATGTACTATATATTCGTTAATTAAATTTAAATAATAATAATAAAAAAAGAAACAAAACAGATGAGAAAGGGAAAAAAAAAAGAAAAAGAGGCAAACCAAGAAAGAGATTCCTAACTATAGAGAACAAAGTGATGGCTACCAGAGGGGAGGTGGGTGGGGGGATGGGTGAAATAGGTGAAGGGGATTAAGGAGGACATTTATTGTGATGAGCACCGGGTGATGTATGTAAGTGTTGAATCACTATATTGTACACCTGAAACTAATATCACACTGTATGTTAACTAACTAGAATTTAAATAAAAACTTTTTAAAATGAATATGGCAAGCTAAAAAATTACAAACCAAAATTTGCTAACTCAGAATTTTTAGTGCAGTGTATTTTAGAATGCCCCTTTCTCAGATGATGTGGTGAGATTCAAGAGTAAACTTTACTGTTTGACATTTATGACCAGCTGTTACCCACTATCCCCCGAATCTGTTTGAGCCTTGTCCATAAATATTCAGTAATATGATCACCAGCATAGTTGGTGAAATATAATATGATGGAATGTAAAATGCAATGATAAATTTCTCACTGTGTTGGTGTATTAATAAAATAAACCCTGTAACAAAGAGCAAGAGGCATTAATCTCAACCCAGATTTTTAAGTACTTGTAACTTGAAATAAATAGTTGATACTTGGTATCTAAAATATTTTGGATACAATGTGAGACTAAATAAATATCAAGTTACAAGCATACCAATAGAAAGAAAATTTAGTGACCTATAGAAAGATCCATGAAGATGAGCAACACACACACACACACACACACACACACACCAGTTCCACCAAGAAAACAAAAGAACAAAAGTATGGAATCTATCTTGCATCTGCTAGCCTAAGGATTACCATGACAACTGAGTGTAAGACATATACTTTATTTCTAATTCTAGGATGGCATCTCTTCTCTGTTTAGCTCAAAGCACTCTGAAAAATGACACAGTATAATAAATAACTAAATTACTAGAAAGAGATTTACACAGAAAAAGAAAAAAATTATCTCAAATTGCTCTCTTTTATTCTTCCTTTTCTTCTCCCTTTTTTCTACTTAAAAGAAATTACACACAAAATAGTAACCAACTCTGAGACAAAGAAGTAGTGCTTAATACTTAACGAGAACAGTAACCAAAAGCCAACCAGCACTATTTCTGTTGATGTTATGGGGAATCTCTAGTGATCTTTCATTTCTTTGTGTGGAGAGCAGTTATTAAAGTCAAATGGGGTGTTAAAGCTACCTTGACTCCTGCATCTATTAGCATTGACTATGCTCCCTGGAATAGGTAACAGGATCCTACTAGTAAATAAATCCAGCTTATAAAAACAATTTAAAGTGCTAAATAAGTATGGTGAAGGAGAAATTATTACTGGCTTAGTGTTTACCTTTTCATTGTCATTTATTTTTAAAGATCAGAGTATTTTCATGGAGGAAATTGTCTTGGTAAATACTTGATACTGATTTTCAGCTCTGAAATAAATAATAGATGACAGTGCATGTGTTGACCTTTGGTCCCATTAACAAAGCTAAGTCATGTTGCTGAGTACCAAATATGTACCTAAAGTCCAGATAGGCTGGAACGAAGACAGGGAAAGGAAAAAAGAAAGATAAGAGCAGGGGGGCTTAGAAGAAAGGAAGAGAATAAACAGAAGGAAATGGTAGCAATGTTAGGTGCCTCTGACAGTAGTGGACAGTCATTTCCAAAGTAAAAATCGAGCTAGAAAAATAACTTACTGAGTATAATCAGAAAAATATATACCGATTTTTTCCCCATAAGAATTTGATTGCAAAGCATAGTCTCAATGTTACCAGGTTAAATGCCCACTCCAAATTTGTCAGATTAGGCATACTACTTTTGCGGAATCTTGCAGCAACGAAATTCCATTAATCATGCTTTGGTACTTACATTGTTGATAAAGTTATCTTCTCAATAAATCTTTGCTAACAGGGCTTTTGGCCTGTTTGATAATTAGCTACTGTAATGTATTTTTCATGTAATTAGTCAGAACCTGTCACCAGGAATGAACTTGCCTTCTGTGGGAAAATGCACTCAGTGACCTGCCTCATCTTTCCTATGTCTCATACCCATGATTCACCTATCTGCATAACAATAAAGCTTATTGTATAGTGAGCAGGCATCAGGAAATCTATTTAAAATTGCAGAAGAATATAATATTCTAATCCAAAGAGAGAGGATGACTGCTCTTTTGCTTTATCATTTATCACCTTTAATAATGTGATATACTCTTTTGCTCCTTTAAAGTTAACATTGTGGGGCACCTGGCTGGCTCAGTCGGTAGAGCATGTGACTCCTGATCTCGGGGTTGTGAGTTCAAGCTCCCACATTGGGTGTAGAGCGTACTTAAAAAAATAAATTAATGAAGTTAACATTGCAACTCATATTGTCCATGTAAAGATTTATAATTCGGATGGGAAAATCATTCATTTATTTGTGTTTATTTTTTTCAAGACCAAAATACGCATTGCTGGATGAATGTACCAGTGCTGTCAGCATTGATGTTGAAGGAAAGATATTTCAGGCTGCAAAAGGGGCTGGGATTTCCCTACTATCTATAACACACAGGCCTTCTCTGTGGTGAGTGTTCCCAATGTTAATTTGCAATAGATGGTTTTTCTTTATATTTCTCAGAGAATAACTTTGCCTAAACTTTCACTGTAGAGCATAGGATATTTCACTTATTTTCTACCCATATTTCTGTTAAATTGCACACTGGTCATGTAGATACCCTAAACCTAACATTATAAGATTAATGCGCTATTTGAAAATGGTTATCACATTCCAATAATTCTGAAAAGAAATAGAAAAATCCAGTGATTTTTTTAACTGAAAATATTCATAATGCATAGCATGTACTGGGAAAAATATATTTATGTAATTTTATATCATCTTTTTAGTCCCTTTTACAAAATCCAGGAAAAAAATTCCACAATTTAATATTCTCCCAAATGATTAAGTTGGAGAAAACTCAGGGGGACAAAGCTTTTTGGGGGGAAGGGTTTTGTTTTAAGGAAAAATGAATGAAAATATTTTCTAAATAACAGCTCATTAAACTCAATGGGATTTCCCCTATTTAAAAAAAAATGATAACACAATTTTTACCATTCCCCTACTTTTGTACTGATTCATCACCATAGTAATAGTTGCTGTTGCAGATTCAGCACCTACTCTGTTCCAGGTTCATTTTATTTAAGTCACATAACAACACTATATTGAGTATAGGTAGTCTAATTATTCCCATTTTACAGATGAAGAAACTGAGAACTAGAAAAATGAGGACAGTAACTTCCATGATCACACTCTCTATACTATAGTATGCCGCTCTTCTTATTATAAGGAACTCAAAATGCACCGTATATGTAAGCCATAAAAACACTTGTCCATTCATAGTATACTCCACTACTTTGATATTTCTGTTTCATCAATCAAAATCTTTTCTTTTGGTATATTAGTAACTACAGTGGACTCTATACGTATTAGCCTCCTATTTCCCAAGGGACAGAAAGGACTTCTCCCCTCTCTGTAGCAGATGGCTAATCACATTCTATGCCAAAGCTGTCGTCATGTACGTGACTTCCAACCTAGGCTGAGTAACAAGCTTTATTGGAGTTAATCCTGGAAGCCCTTCTAGACTTTTCACTGTATTGAGAATGTTTACTTTAAAATTATGAGTTAACTGAGTATGCAGTTCAGATCAGGCTTTCATTGTTCAACATTCTTTGATTCTGTGTTCTACTTCTATTGAGACGATAATAATCTATTTTCACTCTTCATTTAAACATTCAAATTTTTCATAATTTTTTCCCTCAGAGAGGTGACCTGAAAATAGAGCATTTCATGAAGTGACCTTTTCTATAGAACTTTGTGGTTTGTGTCTTTGTCATTAAGAACTAATTGGCATCTGGAGTGATAAGAGCCTGACTTACTAATCTCTCCAGAAGCAGTCTGGATCTAGTCCAGGATGAGTACATGGCAATGAGTGTGATTCCTCTGACTTTTCCCTGGAGAAAAACCAACAGGAACTGGATCTTTATGACACATGACATTTGTCTATAGATCTCTGAATCAGTGATGACATAGAACCATGCCAGAAGAACTCTTGAGCCCTTTCTGGTATGGACTTGTCATTTCCAGACATCCTTCTTAATTGATCACATGTTGGGATCACATGGAGTTATGTCTTAGTTCTGGTGCTTTTTCTGACTTTATCAATGGATTTATTATGCTACTCTGTCATTCAGTTCCTTATTCAAGTAGCCTAAAGAGTCATTGGAAGCATGTTCAGCCCTTTTTTTTCTCAATTGAAGGAACAAATAGGTTTTTGTTGTTGTTGTGTTTTTAAAGATTTTATTTAGAGCAATGTTATGGTCACAGAAATATTGAGAGGAAGGAACAGAAATATCCCATATGCTCTGCCCCCACACATGCATAGCCGTATTATCAACATTCTCCACTAGAGTGATATATTTGTTACAATGATGAACCTACATTGACCCATCATTATGACCCAAAGTCCATAATTTACATTAGGGTTCACTCTTGATGGTGTACAATCTATGTGTTTGGACAAATTTATAGCTGCATATATCCATCTTTACAGTATTGTACAGAGTATTTTTACTGTTCTAAAAATTCTCTGTGCTCTTCCTATTCATTCCTCCCTTCCCTCAAGCCATAGAAACCACTATCTTTAATGTCTCCATAATTTTGCCTTTTTCAGAATGTCATATAGCTGGAATCATATAGTATGTAACCTTTTCAGTTTGGCTTCTTCACTTAGTAATATTCATTTAAATTTTCTCCATGTCTTTTCATGGCTCAATAGCTCATTTCTTTTAGGCACTGAATAATATTCCATTGTTTAGATGTAGACAGTTTATTTATCCATTCACCTACTAAAGGACATCTTGGTCACTTCCAGTTTGGGCAATTATAAATAAACCTGCTAGAAACATTCATATAAAGGTTTTTAGGTAGATACAAGTTTTCTCAACTCCTTTGGGTAAATATCAAGGAATGCAATTTGCTGGATCATATGGTAAGAGTATGTTTAGTTTTTTAATAAACTGTAAAATTGTCTACCCAAGTGGCTGTACCATTTTGCAATCCCACCAGCAATGAATGAGAGTTTCTGCTGCTCCACGGCCTTGTTGGCATTTGGTGTTATCAGTGTATTGGATGTTTGGCCATTTTAATAGGTGTACAGAGGACAAATACATTTTAAAGCAAATAACAAAATCTGTAACTTTATGCCTTTTAACAAGAAAAAATGTTTTTAATTGCAGCTATTCATAGTATATTTTCCCATAAAACTAAAAGTCATGTTACTTCTGCATTATGAATTAATTTAGACATTGTAGGTTGAAGAGATCCATCATTTCTGATTAGCCTTTCTCCCTAGATGAAATTCTTATTTTCCCTGAAAAGATTTCAGAAGAGAGAAAAAATGTATTATATTTTCTCCATGACAGCAAAGGGGTAATTGTTGATTGTAAAGATTAAAATCAATATCAGTATACAAAGAGCTCAAAAATTATAGAAGCTTATTAAATTATTTGATTCCTGGATAGAATTATAGCTTTATACCTACCACTTTCCTAAGTTTGATCCTATTAGTGCAGGAAGTCTACAGATTATTTCCAACAAGCCTCAGTTAATAGTTTCCTTTAAAATCCTCTAAGGCAAACCCTGAAATATTATTTTAGCCCATTATATATAACATACCTCTGAATCTCAGGTCATGAAACACCCATACATTTTCTTCCTCCCATGTAGGAATCAAATAATGTTGTGGGACTGGAGTGACGAGCCAAACCTTCATTAAACATTGAAGGCAGAAGTTGCCCAAGATCAGAACTACTGCATTCTAAAATTGCTCCCAGTTGTAATCCAACGTTAGGAAAGCCCAAGAATATTAAAAACAAGATCATTCATCTCTGTCATATGTTATCAAACACATGAACTTTCAACCTTCAGCTTGAGAGTGATTTTTACTCTTTTAGACATAGTTTAACACAGGTTAGTTTCCCCATCTTACAGCATGATCCATCCAATCAAAATGAGATGAAACCAGAGGTTTTTCAGTTGAAGAATAGATAAACAAAGTATGCAAAATCATGCAGCGTAATATTATTCAGCCATAAAAATGAAGGAAGTACTAATACATGCTACAACTAGATGAACTTTGAAATCATTTTAAGTGAAAGAAGTTAGTCACAAAAAGCCACATATTATATGATTACAGCATATGAAATGCCCAGAATAGACAAATCCAGAGAGACAGAAAGGAAACTAATGATTGGCAGGGGCTGGGGGTGGCGGGGGAGGGGGGCTGCTAATAGGTATGGGGTTTCTTTTGGGAATAAAGAAAATATTCTGGAATTGGATAGTAGTGATGGTTACATGAGCTTGTGACTCAAATAAAAATCACTGAATTTTACACTTAAAGAATGAGTTTATGGCATGTGAATTATATCTTGTTTAAAAAAGGAAGTAAATCTACTTGAAATAAACCCACTGATCATAGTACATAATGACAGATGAGAGCTTAAAAGGGATCAGGAAGCAAGAAAAACTGGGCACCTGGGTGGTTCAGTTGGTTAAGCGACTGCCTTCAGCTCGGGTCATGATCCTGGAGCCCCTGAATCGAGTCCCACATCGGGCTCCCTGCTTGGCAGGGAGTCTGCTTCTCCCTCTGACCCTCCCCCCTCTCATGTGCTCTCTCTCTGATTCTCTCTCTCTCAAATAAATAAATAAAATCTTTAAAAAAAAAAAGAAGCAAGAAAAACTATAAGGAAAAGATAGGAAAACTGGGGACACATAGGAACATGGGCCTCTTCAGCATAGTGACAAAATGGAGGGGCTCAGCCATGCAAGGCCAGCTTGCTAGCATTACTCTCTCCAAACATTCCTCACAAATCCCAGAAACCAGAGTAACTTTAGCCTCTCTTCAGGACAAGATGGATTGTCTCCTGTCTCATCAACAAAATAATCTCTATGCCTGTCTGAAATTTCTAATTATGAACCAGAGCCATGAGAAAGTAGATTAAATTATATGAAGGCATGAAAGTATCTTTAAAAGTTTTTTTATCAAAGAATTTGTTTTTAAAAAGTGTTTTAAAACTTTTTTAAAAAAATATGCTCCACACCCTGCATGGTACTCACAACCCTGAGATCAAGACCCAAGCTTAGATCAAGAGTCTGACGCTCAACTGACTGAGACACCCAGCCACACTTTGTATTTCCTTTATTTTTCTTAGGTTTTTTTTTTTTTCCTGTATAACCTTTAAAATTTTTACTTTCTTTCCTCAGCTTCCTTTCCTTATTCCCATTCTAACTTAGCTTTGATATTTCTTCAGGAGTCATAGTGGTTTTGAAGATAAATTAAATAGATACAAACAGCATGTCTTCCTTAGTACTTCATATACATTCAGAATATAAAAGAAATTTAATATAAGCAATAGAATTTCCAAGAGATCAGTGACTTCTGTAGTTAAAAAAAAATCACAATATTCAACCTCTTGAGGGATTCTTGAAAATCAAATGTAAAATAGGCACCTTACTTAAAATTTGCCTTTGAATATCAACTGGAATGATAAACCTAAAATGGCTTTTCACAATTATTGCTAATAATATTATTTCATTTTAATTATGCAGGAAATACCACACTCATTTATTACAGTTTGATGGTGAAGGAGGTTGGCGCTTTGAACAATTGGATACTGCTATCCGTTTAACACTGAGTGAAGAAAAACAAAAGCTAGAATCTCAGCTAGCTGGAATTCCCAAAATGCAACAGAGACTCAATGAACTATGTAAAATTTTGGGAGAAGACTCAGTGCTGAAAACAATAAAAAATGAAGATGAGACATCCTAATTTGTTTTGACATGTTTTAAAAGTTACTTTTTAGGTAAAGACTCAAAGACAGTCTGTTACAGTGCATGCATTGTGTTTAAGCTAAGCACAAAGAATATAAGGAAGTAAGAAGTGTTTTATAAAATTTTAGCATCAAGGAAATATATGATCTGACTTTTCAGAAGAAAATAAACAAATGCGTTATGTGAAATTAGTCATTTTGGCTTATACTAATTCCTAGTGAAAGCCTAATTCACCTGTCAAACAGGGTTTTCTAGGTGAATTTATGAAGAACACCAGATTTACTATGTGTATGTGATGTGCCTGAAGTTCTTAACAAACATGGAAGATATCTTGAGGATGGAACAACTTAAGAACAGTATATGGTTTGAAACCAGGTACATAAAATTAGAAGTTTGAGTAACGTTTCAGTCCACTTATGGTTATCAGGTTTAATCGGTAGAATTCATGTTCATCATTACTCGTGATCAACTAAACCCTGTATACAAAATAGCTGACAGTTTGATAAATAATTTCAATATGAAAAAAATTATTTTAATGGCAGTGGTTGAAAGAAGCATGGCTAAACATGTATAAAATGCCATATTTTTAAATTTTAGATTTTGAGCATCTTACTATGGGCACATAACAAATTAGTTTTAATGAGAATCTTACATATTTGTTAATAAAGTCATTCATTTTAAGATGAGAATTGCCAATACAGAAAAGGAGTATCCAAACAATGTATGTCTCAGCCTGTTACTTTGCTTGGCAGCATTATCTACTGCAACTTCTGTCCAGAAATACTCAGCTTGTTTTTGTGCTCAAAGGAGGAGTCCACCACATTTTTAAATAGCAGTGCTATAATAGAATATAAGGATTCTCAAAATCACAGCAGTAACAACATACAATGAAAAAGCACTTTATAATTTACAATCCTCATTTATATAATTTCATTTTAATTCTTATGGCAATCTTTTGAGGCAACTATTATTTACCTCATTCACTTTTGAGAAAATTGACACTCAGACTTGCCTTAATTATGCAATTTATTTAGGGACAGATCCAAGGATCAAATGAAGTTCTCCTGATTCCTTGATCCAGTGCTATTTCTATTTTCCACTATCATCCTCAAAATCTAACTGGGCTATAACTTCAATAAAAGTTAAATGAGACATTGAAAAGAAAACAGATTTGGTAATATTAGTGGTATTATTATTTGGTTGTTTACAAGATGTGGAAATAGAAATACAAAGTGGGAAAAAAAGGTCACTGGGCTGTGGTTTAAAATGAGCCAAGAAAGCAAATTTTTCAGCAACTATGCACTCATACTCAATATTAACGTACCTCTACAGCCAGCAATCAAAGGGGAAATTCATTGTGTTATAGGTAAATTTAATATTTAGTGAACATAATGAGAAAGAATCTGCATGGAATAGTCCATATAAAATAAATCTTACCTATTTGTGTGCCCTGACGTTGGAAGTGCACAAGCCAGACCTGGCATTTTAATCTCCTACTGCCTATGCCATCATGTTGATAGGCCAGAAAAAATGAGAATGATCAGTTGTGAGTAGTTTGGGGATTTATTTACATATTTAGACACAATCATAATCAATGCTAAGTCAGCGATTCCCAGACTTTCTCAGGAGGTAGAGTACCTGGAAGTCATTCATGATGACTGTAGTTGAACAGCATGACATTTTCACATTCTCAATTCTGCCATGCTAATTAAGACATTGTTAGTTATGGATAAATGTAACCATCTTATATGAAGGAATGCAGTATAAAATCATAATCAGTACATCTGTCTAGGTTTTTCTGTTAGTATCTTTAGGTATTCATATCATTTGTCAGGTACTGCTACTTCCTATTAGAAAAGTGAGGCAGGTATCAAAGGTTTAAAAAAATTCACAGAGCCAAAACTTAAACTTGATAACAATCATCCATTAATCTTAACTTCTATATTAGCAGTTATCTAGTTTCTACTGCTGTAGGGAACAGTCTGAGGCAAGTGTCTTAAGTTAACTTTTCAAGGTACAAGAAGAAAATGAAAAGTCCTCATTTCAAACGTGCATAATTTCCATGCCTTAATTCACAATTTGAAAAATAAAGCATTTAGGACATGATATACTGTGTTTTGAAACCTAGAAATGAATGCCAAAACAAATATTAGATTTGTAATTATCCCTTATTTGATACATCCTACCAGTGAGTTGAAGTAAATAAGATTCATTATTTATAATGTACAGGATTCGAGGATGTTTAAAATTCTGTACTAAAACTGTACACATTGTAATTTAAATGTTACAGTTCTAAGAAAAACATGTTTTACATGAGCTTTTTTTGTGCCTATTTATTTTCTGAATTTTCATCAAGGACCAATATCCTCTAACTTGGAGGGGAAAAAATCTGTGATTTGAATTTGTACTGATGTACCATTTAACTAATTCCAAAATGGTCCAATGAGTATACCATATTTTACAATTCTTATATTCTACAAAAAACGTGAACAAGATTGAGAAATTAAAGAGGGTGGATGCGGAAAGGAAAAAGAAAATATTTCAATTTTCAAAGTACTTTTACCATGTATTTACCATCTATTTGCCCATACTTTTGACTTCTGGGATTTTGGTGTTTTGTCAAAGTAAGCTGTAAGTTTAATGGAGCTTAGATTTGTAAATGGGCGTTTTTGGCTAACTTTTGAAGTTGGAAAATAAGTTGCATTCCATGAAAATGTTGCATTTTATTTCTCCAGCATGTAGTGTTAGGCCAAGCATGATTCTAAAATAGTGTGTGTTCTGGTAAACACAATAATGTTTAAAAAATCCCTCTCCAGGAATCTCAAGGAAAATGATATATCCTGATATTCAACTCAAGTTTACATTTGTTTCTAATAGGAATGGTTTTCCCTTGACAGTAATTTGGGTTTTGTGTCAAACTTTGCTCTGCCAGTAAAGGTATAAATGAATATGTTAGTTTTTTATTGGTCCCAAGTATAATTTCATATTTGGCAATAGGCTTAGCCTATTAAAATCTGTTTGGAATAATTTTTTGATTCCATAAGCCTAGAAAAATTTGTTACACACTGGAACCTAAATCCGGAGAATGTTACACACTTCTGAGATGCAGAGAAAATGGTAATGATTATTAAACCATTGATTAAAAGAGATAACTTTGATAGAATTACTTTATGGGCAAAGAGTATTCTCATTTAGAAATGTACAATACTTTCATATAACCCAGGGTATTGACATTTCTGCCGATATACCTTTAGGTATGTCAAATATGTTTTAGAGTTGCACTTGTCATGTTTGCCACATGAGAACTTTCAGATGGATGTATAAAATATTTTTATTAAAAGCAAATCCCTTCTTCCATTGTTGGTGCCTTTCCTGATTACCAAGTACTAAAGTGCTTTACAGTTTTTATTGTGAAATTTCCAAAACCAGTTATCTACACTTATACACAGGGCTTGTGTTAATGAAAGCAAGTGAGAAAAATGTCCTTCAGGGAAAAAATCACTATGTAGCTAAGCTAGAATGTGGCTATGTGTGAATACTCTATAGTATAGTCTCTGTCCAATGAGCAGTTACTTGAACTCAACATTTCTTGTGAATTCCTTAATCACCATCAAAAACATTTGATCAATCAAAGGAATTACAAATTATTCCAGGGGTAGAAAATACCCTATTTCTATATTTTAAATGACTGTTGGGTATGTGTCTACATACACCTCATTTACAAGTTGTATGATGTGCAACCTTATGTAGTACTATGAATAACAGTCCCCAAATAGTTGCTTAAGTATTTATTTTCTTTATTAATTCAACACACACTTACTTATTAAGAACCAGCCTATGCCAGGCACTGTGATAGGTTCTAGGAATAAATAAAATATGGCCCTTGTCCAAAGAAGTTTACTGTCCACTGAAAATTAGGAAAATGAGTACCCTGAGAGGAAAAAGTCAACAGCTACTATTTATTATTTACCAAGAAGGCACAAAGCATTGCATATATTTGACTCATTACATCTTCACAGAACTGTAATTTAATAAAAGAGGAAAGTGAGGACAGAAAGGTTAAGTAATTCATCCAACCTCATACAGCTACTAAGCTATAGAGCTGAAATTTGAACCTAGCAATATTTGATTATGAAGCCTATGCAACTCCCCATCACTTTCCTTTTAATTAGTTTAGGTCAATTTTCATTATAACTGTTTTAAACTCCACAGTTATATTTTTCACTGGCTCAAGGTTTCTGGTTAACCAAACATGCATTTTTTTCATCTAAAAAGGAAACTTGTCACATAAGTTACATTTTCATTGTTTTTATTATAAATGTTGAATGCAATCATATGGGAGAGGGAGAACAAAAGGCAAATTTTCAAATGTTTTGAGGAACAAATGTCCAAACCGGTTAACCAGTAAATATTTATTAACACATTCAAGGTACCATTTATTGTGCTAGGGATTCTTTTTTTTTTTTTAAAGATTTTATTTAATTATTTGAGAGAGAGAATGAGAGACAGCACGAGAGGGAAGAGGGTCAGAGGGAGAAGCAGACTCCCCGCTGAGCAGGGAGCCCGATGCGGGACTCGATTCTGGGACTCCAGGATCATGGCCTGAGCCGAAGGCAGTCGCTTAACCAACTGAGCCACCCAGGCGCCCCTGTGCTAGGGATTCTAAGTGAACAGCACAGACCTGGTCTCAGTCCTTACGAAACATTTTAGTACCCCAATACTAAACAACTGTATGCCCCTTATAGGTTTTGTCCCATCTAAAATGGCATATTTGTTTTGTAATATCTTCTCAACTCTTGTATTTCCTGCCTACGACCACTCTGTTGCAACATTTAAGCAATAAGCATTTTCTGGCAGCAGGATTGCCTTGATTACACATTTAAATGCTTCATAATCCTCATGCCCTCCTACTTGGTCTAAATGACAAGGTCCAATAGAAACCAGTCTGTAGGACTGTGTCACCCTTCACCAGTAGGTGGTCCCGTACGTTTAGTATGTTGCCTTGAAACCTGAGAAACATTAGCTTCTCAAGCTCAGGTCATGTAAAGTGAACCAGTTTTGGACAATGAAGAGTATCTCTCTAGTGTTTACACAGAATATAGATAACTGTAGCAGGAAAGTTCTAAAAAGCAAAAATAAGATTAAATTTAAAATAAATAATAAGTAATTATAAAAGTGAATACACAAGGCTTCTAAAGTTAAGCACATTGAAAATTATATGCTTTAGCTCAGTACTTGTTTGTTACCCAACGTAGAAGATAAATATTAAATTGATTAAATATTTAATCACCTTATGTGTTCTTATGTTATTTAATACCTATAATATAGATTATGCAACAGTGAAATAATGAAATATTAAACACTAAATAGTCACTTGCCAAATCATTTAATTGTAGTTAGTTTAATCCATATAAAGTAGGAGGCAACCTTATATATCAAATATATTAATCTTTTATCCATTGAATATATTAAATTTAGTAATTAAAATTTATTGGGTCTACAAATCTCTTACTAATTGAAAAATGTAAAAGCTTATTCTAATGAACATATATAAAATGAATGTGGATAATGTGAATATATTTGTATATATGAAGTTGTAAACATACAAAAATAGGATACACACTTTTTTTTAAAATCCCAAATGGAAAACTTACAAAATTTGACCACTTCTCAGGCCATGTAACAAGGCTCAATAAAGTTCAATCAATTTCTATCTGGAAAAAAAAGGAATTGGGCCTAAACATCATATAAATGTATAAAACTACAAAAGTTTATGCTAGAAAAGTGTCTTGGGACTCACATAAGGATGGGGTAAAAGAGGTCCCATAATAAGACTTCATTTTTTTGGAAAGCTACTATAAAAAAAAAAGAAAAAGCCACTATAAAGTGACCTTTTGCAACATGCAGATATTGATAACACAAGACTGATAAAACAGTGACAAAGTAAGTGTCAAAGCCCTCTTGTTCAGGCTAGCTTCTTGCTCCATGCGACAACTTTCCGAGATCCACAAAGGTGCGGTGTAGATAAGTGAGGTTAATGTAGATCCAAGCAGATACATATATTTTCCTGCAACCTAACACACACACACACACACACACACACATGCACACATGCACACACACATAAATTCTAAAAGTTTAATACAAAGGTGCCTGGATGGCTCAGTCGGTTAAGCATCTGCCTTGGGCTGAGGTCTTGACTCCGGGGTCCTGGGATGGAGACCCAAGTGGGGTTCCCTGTTCAGTGGGGAGTCTGCTTCTCCCTCTCCTTCTGCCCCTCCACCTCCCCAGCTCCTGCTTGCTCTCTCTCTCTCTCTCAAATTAAAAAAAAATAAAAATAAATAAAAGTTTAATACAAAAACAGCATAATGATTTTGAGGACTTAAGTAACAAAAAAAATTTTCTATTGTGATAAAAAACATAAAATTTACCGTCTTAACCATTTTCAAGTGTACAGTTTAGTAGTGTTAAGTACATTCACATTGTTGTGAAAGAGCATCATCTTACAAGTTGGAAACTTCATACCCATGAAACAATAATTCCTCTTTCTCCCTCTCTCCAGTCCCTGGTAACCATCATTCAACTTTCCGTTTCTATGAATTTGACTGTGTGAGGTACTTCACACAAGTGGAACTGGACAGAATTTGTCCTTTTGTGATTGGCTTATTTCATTTAGCATAATTGCCTCAAAGTTCATCCACACTGTGACATGTGACAGGATTTTCTTCCTTTTTAAGGCTGAATAAAAGCCATTGTATATTTATACCACATTTTGTTTATCCATTCTTCCATTGATAGAGTGGGTTGTGTCTGCCTTTTGGCTATTGTGAATAATACTGCTATGAACATGGGTATGCAAATATCTCTTTGAGACCCTGCTTTTAATTCTTTTGGGTATATACCTAGAAGTGGTATGGCTGGATTGATGGTAGTGCTGTTTTTAATTTCTTGAGGAAACTTGATACTATTTGCCATAGCGGCAATACCAATTTACATTCCTGCTAACGGTGCACAAGGGTTCCAATTTCTCCACATCCTCACCAACATTTGATGTATTTTAATAGTAGCCATTTTAATGGGTGTGAGGTGATATCTCATTTTGGTTTTGATTTGCATTTCTGATGACTGCTGGTGGAAATGAAAGCTGGTGCAGCCACTCTGGAAAATAGTATGGAGATGCCTCAAAAAGTTAAAAATAGAGGTACCCTATGACCTAGCAATTGCACTACTGGGTATTTACCCCAAAGATAAAAAAGCAGTGATCTGAAGGGTCACATGCACCCCAATGTTTATAGCAGCAATGTCCACAATAGCCAAACTATGGAAAGAGCCCAGATGCCCATCAACAGATGAATGGATAAAGAAGTGGTATACACACACACACACACACACACAAAATGGACTATTACTCAACCATCAAAAAAAAGAAAAAGAAATCTTATCATTTACAATGACATGGATGGAACTAGAGGGTATTATGCTAAGTGAAATAAGTCAATCAGAGAAAGACAATTATATGATTTCACTCATATTTTCAATTTAAGAAACAAAACAGAGGAACTTAGGGGAAGGGAGGGAAAAATAAAATAAGACAAAATCAGGGGGCGAGACAAACCATAAGAGACTCTTAATCATAGGAAACAAACTGAGGGTTGCTGGAGGGGTGGGGGTGGGGGGATGGGGTAACTGGGTGATGGGCATTAAGGAGGGCACGTGATGTAATGAGCACTGGGTGTTATATAAGACTAATGAATCACTGAACTCTACCTCTAAAAGTAATAATACACTATATGTTAATTAATTCAAGTTAAATTAAAAAGTTAAAATAAAATAGCCCTCAACCAGTCCCTCTGGATCACATTGGTCAGTATTATTTATATACCTTATTTCTCCATTTATCTTATTCACTAATTTGCTAGTTTATTCTCTCTGCCTATGACCCCTGCCCTCCTTAGCCTGTAAACTTTGTGGAGCAGGAATTTTGCTTATGTTATTTACTGCAATATTCATAGCACCCAGAACAATAAATGGCAGATACTTTAAAAGTATTTGTTTAACAATGGAATATTATGCAGCCATCAAAAGGAATGAGATCTTGCCATTTGCAACGACGTGGATGGAACTGGAGGGTGTTATGCTGAGTGAAATAAGTCAATCAGAGAAAGACATGTATCATATGACCTCACTGATATGAGGAATTCTTATTCTCAGGAAACAAACTGAGTGTTGCTGGAATGGTGGGGGTGGGAGGGATGGGGTGGCTGGGTGATAGACATTGGGGAGGGTATGTGCTACAGTGAGCGCTGTGAATTGTGCAAGACTGTTGAATCACAGATCTGTACTTCTGAAACAAA